TATATAACTAGTAAGAATTCTTGATGAGTTCACAGAATGGAGAAGCTGCAGGACCTCAGGGCCTGGGCTGGGGACTCAGCAGTCACTTTTCATCCATTTTTCTCTCATGATTTTGTGTGTTTCATTTTGGGTGTTGACCTCATTCTCTCCTAGTGTGGACAGTACTGTGACAGGCCCTTTCAACAAAGAGGGGAACAACCTCAGGTGAAAGGGAAATATTGGTTTTTGCACATTTGAGTATTAATTTTCCAAAATATTTTGGTCCCTGTGTGAATGGTAACACTGTTACCAGTCACTGTTTACTAAGATAGGCCATATCTAGGCCTCTTGTCCACTTAGATGGCCTGGCTAGTGGTGGGATGCCCAGAACCTACTACTTTAAAAGAAGCATTAGAAAAGCTTATCGTGAAGAGCAGAAATAATAACCATCATTCATTCATTCAACAAATATTTATTCAGCTTTTCTCCTAGGCATTAGGGATACAACACTGAACAAAAGAAATGTATATTCCTACTGTTAGGGAGCTTACATTCTAGTGGGTAGTCTAGTGGGGAGATAATAAAGAAGATAAGTAAAACATGCAACATGCTTGACTATAATAAATACAAAGAACTAAAAAATGAGGCAGGAAGGAGGAGTAAGAAGAATCTGTGGGGAGAAGGAGGTTGAAATTTTAACTAATGTGGCCCGGGAAATTATGACTGATGAGAAAGTGACCTAAGTAAAGATCTGAAGGAAATGAGGGAGGAAGCCATGCAGACATTCCATTCAGAGGCAACAGCAGGTGTAAAGGCCCTGAGGTAAGAGTGTGCCTGGCGAGTTTTAGGGAGGACTTGGAGGCTAGAGTGGGGGGTCAGGAGAAGACTGGGAAAAGACAGTAGGAAAGGAGGTCAGGGAACTGACGGGGAGCCAGATGATGCTGGGGTTGCAGCTTGTCATAAAGATATTGTCTTGCCTCTCAGTGAAATGGGGCCAACAGAGGGTTTTATCTGACTCCTGATTTGATTGCTCTGGCTGCTTTGGAGAACAGACTGGGGGGCAAGGGCAGAGGCAGATAATCCAGCCGGGAGACCAATGCCATAACCCAGGAGAGAGATGCTCATAATGTGGACCAGGGTGGTGGCAGTGAAGGTGGTGAGAAATGGTTGGATTCTGGATATACGTTGAATATAAATCCAACAGGATTTGCTGATAAGATGGACACGGGGTGTGAGAGGAGGGGATGTGGGATGACAGCAAGGTTTGGGCCTGAGGAGTGGAAGAATGGAGCTGCCATTAACCAGATGAGGAAGACTCCAGGAAGAGCTAGTTTGAGGGGACTCTTAGGGGGCTCAGTTTTGGATTTGTGAACTTTGCGATGCTTATTAGACATCCAAGTAGCGATGTTATAGGACTGGAGTTCAGGGAAGAGGTCCTGGCTGAAGATATAAATTTGTGAGTCATCAGTATGTAGATGGTATTTAAAGGCATGGGACTTGATTGAGATCACCCAGGGAGTGTGTGTAGAAAGAAAAGAGCCATCAAAGGACTAAGTTCTGGGGCGCCTCAGGTGCCACACGTTGCTATTTTAGAATAGCTGTTAGTTTGTCCAAGAACACTAGTATTCCACAAACACAGTTTGAGGTATGCTGATCTAAAGGAACATATCTTTATAACTACTTCTCTTCAGAACACATAGAATACAGTTCCTTTAGCTGTAAAAATATACTTCTAATTTTCCAAGATGGTACAGTCATCTCAGTAAAGGTACCATAGTCCTAGTAAAGCGTTTTGTGGAAGAAAATAGTTGACTGTGGAATATTCTCTGTGTGTTGTGGGTCAGGTAGTTGCTTAGTGATAGAAGATCCAGACATAGTTAGTATGGTCTAGAATGAGCCTCTAAAACCTCTCTAACTTTCCTGGGCATTCGATGGTCTTGTGGTCTGATTTTTAGTGCTACAGAATTCATTGCTGCCATTCAAAATATTTATTACAGCTGAATTATGTGCAAAGTAAGTGTTTAGTACCACGGGGAATAAACTGTCCTAACCCTCCGGAAGCTGGGGAGAAAGACTTCACCTTCGGCAAACGTGTGATTCAGAAATGAATGCTTCTGGAATTCCCAAGGAGGAGCACTGAGGTAGTAGAAAGGCTTGTTCTGAGTTCTGAAGTTTAGAAAAGGTAGAAATGAGGAAAGGACAGTTTTTGATCCTAAGTATGGGAGTCTAAGTACATAAAACAGAAGGAGATTATGATCAGATTGCTTGCCTAACTAGAGCAAAGAGTGTTGGAGAGAATTGGATTATTATAGAGCTTCTTGTACTGTGTTGGTAATGGGAGCTCTCTCTGGAAAGAGGTGGAAGAAGGTGACTCTTGCAGTGATAGTTTGTCATGCGTTTGTGTCACTTGACTGTACCCCACACTCTACTCTGTGTTACAGAGAACAATTCATTACTGTAACTTTCTTAGGCTATAATAACAATTCTGGCAATTTGATGTTTTTAGACCATTCCCGTGGCTGCTCTTTTCATATCTGTAGAACGTAAACAGATTTTTTTGAAATATTAGTATTTTTTGAAGGATTAATGGTGTAAACTTTGGAAACGTCTTTTACTGCTAGAAGTAGTCATGTTTCTGACATCTAAAAATATATATCTTGCCTTTGCTTTATTTTTCTTTTTCGTTTCCACTAAATTATTAACCCCAACTTTTTTTTTTTTTTTTTTTTTTTCCCTCGGTGTAAACTTTGGAAACGTCTTTTACTGCTAGAAGTAGTCATGTTTCTGACATCTAAAAATATATATCTTGCCTTTGCTTTATTTTTCTTTTTCGTTTCCACTAAATTATTAACCCCAACTTTTTTTTTTTTTTTTTTTTTTGACTCACAGCTTTCTTCTTGCATGAATTACCAAATGAAAGAATCTCATAAAAATGCTACTGAGGGTGATAGTTTGGGGGAATTAACTGTCATGGCACTTATTTTCCCTCTTTAAATGGAAATTGAAAATTAAATGTTACTATAATTTTTCATTATTGGGGAAAATTGGACCATGTCTCCCACTTTCCATATCAGCAATAATCCATGGCAAAAAAAGTTCACTGTTAACTTTTTGACTTGAGGGGAGAGACATTCATATTGATGATAAGTGTATCCTAGAAGTCTGTGTGTTTCATAAGGTTCTGCAAAATTCTTACCTCCATCCTTTTATGATTGTTGAGATGTTCTCCTTGAGCTTTGGGGAGGTGTTTCCCACTCAATGAAGGGTGCTTGAACAATCCTACTCTAAGTGGGAGCTGGGGAGGAGGGGAAAGGAACGAATAACAGCTACAAGATAACTTTTCAAAGTGACTGTTAAGCAACGTTTACTCTCCAAGAAAACCACTTTACCCCTTTACCTTTCTCCTCAAGCTCTCATGTACATCCCACCTCCTCCTCACCATCAGATCACTCATATTTCACTGCAAAAATGTAAGTCCTCAGAAGCCCTCATCTTCACCCCACAAACTTGCCAGATCACCCCCATCTGTACCCTGCCTTCCCGAGCTGAGATTGATGAGCTCTCTGTGTTCCACCTGAAGTTAATCCCTCTACCTGTGTGTGGACATCATCTCATCATCTCAGTAGTTCACGGTTGCTTGAGCTGCTTTTGCATTTATCCCCTCTCTCCTAGAGCAATAATCTGTCTCTACTAGATCATCCTCATGCACACTCCAAAGTGTTATCATATTTCCCGTTTAAAAAATCCCCTGTTTTATGCCTTCCTTCACCTACCTCCTTAATTCTTGGCTTTTCTTGGCAGCAACATTTCGCAAAATAATTCTCTCCACTCCCTGTCTCTACTTCTTCACCTCTCATTCTTTACTGGGTAGCCTGGTGTCCACTGTAACAGCTCTTGTCAGGATCACCCAGCCCTTCCACCTTGCCAGATTCATTGGTTCCTTCTTAGTTCTCATCTTATTTGAACTTCCAGCAGGCTTTGGCTCAGCAGCTGATACCCTTTCCTTTTTGAGCCCTTTCTTCACCGGACAGTTGATGAAGTCCTGGTTCTCTCCCTACCTCACTGGCTGCTCTTTTTCAATGTCTTCTGCTGATATCCCCTCCCGTTCCTATAAAAGGTAGAGTAGCCCGGGGTTTAGACTTCTCCCTCTTCTGTACACTCACACCCGAGCTTGTGTCATCCTATCCCATGGTCTTAAATACTGCTTACATGGTGGTATCTCCTGAATTGATGTTTTTCTGCTCCACGTTTCCACTTGGACTTTTAGTAGGTACGTTCCGTCTAAGACATCCAAAACTTCTTTCTGTGGCCTTCATTTCCTTTACCACCTGGTCCCCCCTAACCTCTGCAACTTCATTTGCTGCCCTTTCCTCTCCTTTTCTCCTGCAGCTCCCACCACACTTACCTACTTACTGTTCCCCTAACTGCCAAGCTCTTGCCTGTCTCAGAGGCTTTGCGCTTGCTGCTCTCTTTGCCTGCAGTGTTCTTTGCCCAGATCTTGGCTTGGCTTGTCCCCTCACTCCAGTGTCAAATGTATTTCTTCAGAGGCCTTCCCTGACCTCCCTGCCTAAAGCAGTACCCCCTTACGTGTTTTATTTTTCCTTCTCAGCACTTAGCACTACTTTAAGTCATATTTTACTTCTCCCCTGCTGGAATATGAGCTCAAGGAGGACATGTAATTAGTTGACGCATCCCTTATCCCTAAGGCTTAGATCAGTTCCTGGCCCATAGGAGACTCTCAGCTCATTTATTGAATGAATAAGTAAATGAATTGATATATATGTAAATATTGTTAAAACAATGTAAACCATGTGACTATACCCTCATGTAAACCATGTGACTATACTCTCAATGTTTTTGAATTCAAAGTACAGAGAAATGTTTATTATGATAGAATGGTTAAACATAATAGAAGAATAGCTAGCCGGGGCTTGCCTGTTGCGTGTAGACTCATATAAAGGAAATTCTTTGAGTTCCCTTCTCTGGAAATAAGTTGTGTTTTCTTGGCTCTTCCCGTGCAGCTGAAGAATAAGTTCATGAAAAAACTGCCACGTGATGCCGAAGCCTCCAACGTGCTTGTTGGCGAGGTCAACTTCTTAGATTCTCCTTTCATTGCCTTTGTTCGGCTGCAGCAGGCCGTCATGCTGGGTGCCCTGACTGAGGTCCCTGTGCCCACAAGGTAAGCTGCTCCATGACCCGCTGGGGTCCACAATGTAGTGATAGGGACAGCTCCTCTCCCTCAGGCTAGAGAACCAAGAGGATGAGGGTACGTCCAAAGCAAACATATTGGAAAGGTTTAACCCGAAATAATGGTTCAGTCGGATTTTCACGCTATCAGATTACTTGGCACTTGTACAGTAGTAATAATAATAACAATTATAATAATTCATTGGGCTACAGAACAGTTTCTTATGGATTAGTCTGTTTAATCCTCATAATGATTATAGGTATGTGGAATTTGTAGATGAAGAAACTGAGTTTGAAAGTTTAAGTAACTTCTCTAAGATCATATAGATGGTGAATGATTCAAAGGTCGGAGTTGCTTTCATTTGCTCTCTGTTTTATTAGAAAATTGGTAGTGGGTACATACATACATGCATATGCACATTATATATATAGACACGTCTATATGTACATATATAGACGTGTCTATATGTATATTATATATATATACACATATGTAAAAATCATTTGCACACTTTACTGTTATGTGTTATGACTCATAAAGTTTTAAGAGGAAGCATGTTACTGTTATTACAATCATGTACTCATTACCCTGCTCAATACTTTAGAAGTCATCCTCTTTTATTTCCTTCTGTGACTGAGCCCAGTAGAGGAGTTAGGAAGCTTGACTTCCGAAGTGCAGTGGGTCAATAGAAGTTAATGCTTCACTTAAACCTGTGCTTAAGAAGAGTTTAAAGAGAAGTTTATAATCTTCAGGTTGACCTTAGAAAATTATCATATAAATAGGACCTCTTTTGGGGGGAGGGTGCCTTTTGTGGGTCCCAGGGGACTTTTCTTTGGGTTTCCCACGTGAGCAGGAAGGGCTGTGAATGCTTAGTGACCTCAGATGATCTGAGTGTGATCAACCAACAAGACAAGGGGGTCAAGGTTTGTTCTGAGCCAACTTAGGAGGCAAATTAGGAGAACATTTCCTATGGCCTCCCAATTTATAGATTACAGGCCATTCTTATCATACAGGCATTTTTACTCCATTTTTGTATTTCTTAGACACTTAAAATAGGAATAATGTTTGTCATATTACAATATAGGAATAATATAAGCAGTCATTGGACAAATGGCAGAGGAAAGGCGATGATCATATTCAATTAATGGGATTATCATGATTTGTGTTTTCTGTAACTTAGCTTTTTGCTTGAAAACATTCCAGCAGAGCCTTGCAGTTCTATCTGAGCAATCACCTGGCGAACAGCTAGCTGACTCAGATCATGGCCGAAGTCCAGCTTGTGTGTCCCTATGGTTTTATTTTTGTCTCTTTGGACTAACTTTACTGGAGCTTGGAAGAAAAAAAAGTGTGCCCAGAAGTGTTAAATTTCTCTTGCTTTTTCATTTTTATTATTATTTTTCTCTGGAAGCTACAAATAAAAAATATTTTTAAAGGCTTTTTGTTTAACAATAATGCAAGTTCATTGAGTAGCAAGTCTTGACTATTTTTGTGTCCCTCTAATCTTCTGTTCCTGTCTGGTTCATTTTCTTCTGTACTGGAGGGTGGTACTAGTCTAAGGGTACAATCCAGCATCATTTGAATAGAAAAAAGGAGCCCAGGCAATTCAAGGGAATGTAATTCAATAATGTCGTAAAGCTGTTTCAGGGCAATAATCTGAATAATATATCCTAGCATGTTAACATTTTTCCAGGAAGTAGTCTTATCCATTTGCTGTCCTCCGAACCAGGGCAAGCTGTAATCACTGAGTAGGGAGTCTCATTAGCTTTTTTGTGTATGAGTAATATGGGGCCATTTACAATGGCTGCATCCTGTGAAATCCAATAAAGGAAATCCTACAAGGAGTGTGGTAGTCATTGTGAAGGATGCCTCTGCAGTCAGCCATGTGCTTTAACATGCATGCCACCCTGTTGTCCTGCAGGCAGACCCGAGAAGTCTGTTTCTGTGCACAACTTGTAACAGCGGTCATTTTTCCTTTTGAAGGTGGAGGAATGTTAGGCTCTTTTGCTTATTATTATTATTATTACTATTTATCATAAACAGCATTACTACTGTGCATCTTTTAGGAAATGTAGTGGTAGCTGCTCCTTTTGTGTAGAGTCCACAAGTTTCTCTATCTCCTCTGCTCTTGGCTTGATCTATTTTAGCTTTCTGCTTGCAGCTGGACTCCTACCAACTGAATGGATGTTCTCCACGTAGGGGCCCTTCTTGCCGTACATGTGAAAGCAAATAAACTCTGTCCTTTGATCTCTGGTGACTTGGTAGGATACGTTTATGATTTTCTTAGCATCTTGCAGATACTTTGCTTGCTATCATCTTACATCTGTCCATAGAGGCTGCCACTCAGTCATATATAGGGGCCACATGGGGATGAACATAATTCCCATTTTATAGTTGAGAGGTGGAGGCACAGGGACGATTCACTACCAGTGCAGACTTCTGACTCCGAGGCCAGGCTTTTAGGGAAAATCTAAGGAGATATCCAGAATGGATTGGAATAAAATACTTGAGCGTTTTCCCATGAAGAATAATCAAAGTTCCTGATCAGTTTGTCCTTTTCTGACCTTGATTTTCACATCTAAGGCAAATAGTTATTCAGGGAGCTCTAGCCCTCTAAAAAATTAGAATGCTTATTACCCCTTTATATCACTGTAAGTTAATATATATTTTATGTTATAAATAGCAATCTGCCTAAAAGCAGTTGTTTGTGCCTAATTGTCAAAACTATAAAAAATTGTGTTAGAGGAATTGGGATGGAGGTCCTGCTAGTTCAGTTCTGTCTCGTGTGACCATCTTCCAGTTGCTCACTGTAATATGGTTGGTTACGGTGGGCTTGCGGTCCTCATGAATTTATTGTGGAAGGTACAGTTTAGCCACATTTTCCAAAGCCACTAAATATGAGCACTGGGTTATTTGATTCACTGTTGTTTTGAAAGAAGGGAGTAAAGGACTGATACATACTGAGTTTATTTTAGAAATAGCTGTGATATGTCAGGAAGGATGGGGGTGCACATCCTCTCTGAAAAGATTGAGTGGTTTAGGAAGGCTGGCTCTTTTTCTGATATTATGCTCTGTTTCTGCCTATAATTATTTTGTGAATGTGAGTATAGCCCAGTGGTTCTGGACACAGATCATCTGGTACTGATTTTTGTTGTGGAGAATGCTAGAGACATCCTCCCCAGGCACAATTAGTTGCATGGAAAAGCGAGCGCATAAGAGTAGAAAGGCCCCATGAAGATTCTCGAGACAACCAGGCACTATTAAAAATTCTAACTATGACTTGTTTCTAGTTATGAGTGAATAAAAACAACTCAGCAACATAAATTATTTCCCCCAAGCCATCAACATGAGCTGTGCCCTTTCAGCCACACAAATTTGATGTTTACTCTAATTTGTTAATAAAGAAAGAAAGCTTCTGTTTAAAAAAAAACATCTGTCCCTTGACAAAAAACAGCTTGAGTCATGAAAGAAGTTTTCAGTACATTATAAAAGCTGAGTTTGGCAAGAGGTACTTCTATCATAAAAGTTGTAACAGCTTTTGCTTCTTTGAGGGTTAAAGAGGAGAGAACATGTTTCGGGCAGAGGGAACTTCAACTTGATGAGTTTTTCTGTGTTGTTAGTTTTCCCAGACCTCTCATCCCCATTTCAACAACGCAGTTCAAATTAGAGGCTTCTTAAGGGTCTACTTTCCTACAGATGAAATTCTTGACCTGAGGTGATGTTTCCTGCTACTTGTAGATGTCTAGATTTCCTCTCTATATCATTTTAAGGAGATGGATTTACTGAATGGTTCCTGCCTGGAGTAATGTGAAAATTTTAACTGATACGTAATATTTTATTTCTATTTGGCACTTGATGATTTCCATTAAAGTATATATATATATATATATATATATATTATATAAAATAAATATATAAGTATATATATAATTATATATATTATATAATATATATAATATAATAAATTTTTATATACAATATATAATATTATATATATACTTATAATAATATATGAGTGTGTGTATATGTATGTGTATATATATATAATTTTTTTTTAAATAAAAATCACATTACCCAGTAAAGGGGAATTGTACCTTTGTATCTAGGTTAGTAAAACACTATAGCTCTCATATGCTGGGTTTATTGCTATAATAAATGTTATGGTCACCACTGGTCTATTACTGCCCTTCATTCTTTGGTACTATTTAGTAAAGAGCAGAGTAAAAACTTGTAGAAAATGTATGCCCTCATCTTATAGTATTTAAGTTAGAGGATCCATTATTCTATCAGTTCTTGGACTAGTTACCCATTGTCTGCCAAAGTTTTTATTTGGGGACTGTTAATGACTGAGAGTATCTTCCTCACTTTCTAAGAAGACACTATTTTGGCTTTGTTGCCATTTAGTCAACCTGATCATTAATTTATGTGCCAGTTGATAAATGTGCATTTCTATAATGTATTTCTAAATGTAAAATAATCATGATGGAGATACTAGGGAGAGGTAGGAAGAGGTAGAGAGTGGTTCTGGAAAGGTTTTAGATGTTACGTATTACTTAGACACTAGTATTTAGATACACTGAAATAATAGAAAATGACGAGCAAAGGAAATCCATTATCTAAAAATGTATTTAGTAAAGCATCCAGGTGTTATGTATTTTCGCTTACCGCACCACATCTGCCTTCTTCTGCCTAAAACTATGGGCTTATTGTCCTGCCTGACAGCTGGCCCTTGGTAGACAGGTAAATAGGGTTGGGACATGTGACCAGCACTGTAGATGTTTCTTAATGAGATTTATATTTTACTGTAGTGGTTAAATATTTTTTTCGGGTGTTGCACTCAAATCAGTGATCTGCCCCTTCAGAAAAATGCATTGTACTGTCCATAAAAAAACACTTTATAATACTGTATGTAGTGGTATATAAATTAGGTCCAGCTTCAAAGGAAGAAAAGTTCTAGTTAGAAGAACTAAAATCCAATTCTAATAATGACTTCCTTCATACCTGAACAGACTTTCGCACCTGCTGATTGCTTTTGCTGTTTCTTCTACTGTGATAACACTTGAAAGCGAGTGTACCGCTCCACTCCAGAACTGGTTTCTAAGCAAATAAATACTGAATGGTTTTATGGTTATTCTGGTATAAAATATGGGTATTCAGACTTTCAGATTTACCTTCTTGCATTCTCAAATTTGGTTTTTTTTTCCTTCACTCTTTGGATTGAATTTTATGATGAAAAAAGGAACTACCTATTCAAGGGCATTTGGGAACAGACCCTAATACCTTGAAGAGTGCTTGCTATCAGTCCTTTCTTATTTAAAATGCGGTGTATAGGAATAAATTAGTAAAAAATAAAATTTTACTAAGAAAAGTCCTAAGCCATTCCTGGTCCCATAAAATCTTACCGAAGTTTTCTTGTCTTCAGCTAAGTATCCACAACATCTTTCCCCAGAGTGACGTATGGAAGTCATAGTGGGATAGCTTTTCTCTGTGAAGTCACAACTCTGGTATATAGGTTGGGCAGGTATTATTAAGCAGAACCGTGTGCTGAAAAAAACAGGAGGTAAGAAGTCCTGTCTATCTACTCTGTCATTTATTAGGGACAGTCTTTGGGCTCATCCATAACTTCCTTGAACCTAGGTTTCTTCACCATTAAATGGAAATAAGATACCTGTCCTTATTGCAGAGGCTAGTAAGAGTTTAAATGATGTGTGAATGTGAAATTCTTTGCAGGCTTTAAAAAGCTGTGCAAACATAGGATATGATCATTTTTATTGTCCTCATTATCTCCACGTTAGGTAAGATATGATCATAAATAAGCAAGGAAGGGATTTATCTAGTGTTGCCTTTTGTCTATGTTTTTAAATTCATTTACTTACCGGGTTTCCTGCTCCCCAGTTGAGACATGCATCTTTGCCCTTATGATCAGTGAGGGATTCCTTCCAACATGATAAGGGGTGAACTTAAGTGGAGATAAGCTCATTATTGCGAGTTTCAGGACCTGCTTGCTATGGAACAGTGCTTTGTACATTATCCAGAAAACAAGTTTGGAAAAGAAACTTGTTGACGCCCATGAAAGAATTTTAGCTGTGCATGGTGCTTTATTTTGAATTTCTCTCATGTTTTTCTTTCTTTACTTTGGCTGTCAGCATGTGGCTTACTTGTAGAAGACTTGGTTTTTGCTGACTCCCAGCCACTTCTGAGTAGAAATATTTCTTAAAAATATGGAGAGGATCATTTGTCATCATCCATATTGGGTAAAGAAACGTCAGAGAAATCTGAAGATGTACTAAGTCTTTCTCGTTATTGTGCTTAATGGATTTTCTCCAAAGATTCTGAGAGTCAGAAGAAAGGGAGAGAGAAGAAAGTTTAGAAAAGAAAGATTGAATGACTCATAAAGTGAAGCTTTCCTTCTCTGTGAGGAAGCTTCTCAGGTTTCCATGCTAAATTCTCCCTTGCTTCCAAATAAGTGAAAAACAGTTTGTGCTTCACAACAGTGTGAAAGAGTATCTTTCATATTAACAAGAATATTACCTTTGTTTTAAAGGTGAGTTCTAGACCTAACCATTTTATGAATTAGGGTAAATGTGTCTCAGTGTTACGTGTGTTGAGTTTGATGAAATGTGTGTTATAGCCTTTGCTTCTTTCCTCTTCCATTAGGTTCTTGTTCATTCTCTTAGGTCCTAAGGGGAAAGCCAAGTCCTACCATGAGATTGGCAGAGCCATTGCCACCTTGATGTCCGATGAGGTAGGGAATCGGGAAGATGGTGATCTGTGAATGTCCTACTTGTGTTTTCATACTGTGAGTTGGCTGTCACAATTTATTCAGTTAGAATTATGTAGTTACCAACCTTCTTAAAACATGAGGTACAGTTGTTCATGCAAATGAGCTGACATCTGCATTTGATAGTTTTCAAAAAATAAATTTTATGTTAGAATAAGTCATATTTTCCTTTCTTCCTCTAAACTGAGGTATGTTAAATATTATTTAAAAGGTTCAAGACACTGTATTAACTTAATCTCTTAAAGTGTTTAATATATTAATTCTGGAAACTCGTGTCCATATACTGTGTTGTTTCAGAAATGATGGGTTCTATAAAATAATGCATAATAAAATGGATAATGCATTTTTTCCCTTAGGTATCAAAAAGTACCTGTTTTTGTGGTTTTCTTATCTTGTGGGAAGGAATGATACATATACTAAAATGCATTAGCAACTGTTACTGCAGAGCATCTAGTACGTTGGAATTATGACCATACTCTCCTAATAGCTTGAATGTCATTACACACATTGTAGACATGACGAAACTCCAAACTGGTCTCATAGGAGGAGAAATACTATGAGAATATGGGAGCACTAATTTCTGCTTTTGCATCTTTTTAGCTTACTGTTTTCTCGAATGTTTTGTTTTTGCTTCATTGATTGACATGTTAGCTTCTCCGTGTGTTAAGTGTAGAATAGAGCATTTAGCTATGGCAGTTCTATATGGTGATTACGAGATGGTTACTTAATCTGAGAGCATTGATGGATAGCAATGCTGTTTTTTTCCCCTTGAGGCAACTAAGCATCTCAGTGGGTTCTTTCATGTATTTTTGCATATTTATGATTTCTTTAAAAAAATGATTCCTCCTAAGATGTATCAATTAGAAATGCTTTAGGCTGCAAATGACAGAAAATTTGACTTATTGTGACTTAAACAATTTAGGGTTTATTTTGTTCACATATGAGGAAATTTGGAGGTAGGTGGTTGCTGGAGTTGGTCTAATTTAAACTGCTTAATGATAAAATCAAGTGCCAAGGCTCTTGCTTTGTGGTCTTAAGATGGCTACTACCGTCAACTCCAGTTACGTCATCTGTATGCAAGGCAGGAGGAAGGAGGAAGGGAAGTGTTAGCTGTGTCTGTCTCTTTTAACAGGTATTCAAAAGCTACCCCCCATCCCCCTTCTTTTTTAATCTCATGGGTCAGAATTGCCCATCCTTATCATCAGGGTAGGCTGGGAAAATGACGACTTTCCAGCCTCTACTAAGGGAATTAGCAAGAGAAAATAAGGCTGTGGCCAATTGTGTCCACTACAGATGATATGCTGGCACTTTGTATTGCCCTCCCCTCAACCCCACAACCCCCAGACCATTGGTGTTGTTTGCTTGATAGCTTTTAAAAATTCTAATTGAGGAGAAGAGTCTTAGTAGCGATCTTTAAGAATAGGTAAGGGTATCAAATCAGGGCCATCTTCTCTCCTGGAGACTAAAGAATTTGACTTAACGAGGTATGAAAGTCTTAGGTTATGTGTAAAGGACTTTCAGATCATCAGCCAGGTTAGAGGAATGGAGCAATTGACAAAGAGGATTATGGACATGTGGAGGCTCCTTCTTTGGATATTTGCATACAAGACATAGAACATTTGCTGCCTTGGATGGTTTAGTTATTGCCTTGCTAAAAGATAGACAGATGATCACCTACTTAAAGCCCTTTGCTTTAACACACGTTATTTGTGTGTTTGAGAGCTGCAGTGTCTGAGTCTTAACTCAGTCTTAACAACCAGCTTGAACTTACCCTTCTTGAATTATAAGCAATGGTTTGGCGCAGTAGTTTTTATTTTGGGGAATGATCTTCAGTATATTTCTCTAAACCATTTTCATCTGGCTTCCATCACAACTATATCAGTAATGGTGCATACTAGTGGGAGATGAAAGGCAATGTTGTTTTATGGTATTGATAGAAAAAATCTTATAAAAGAAACACAGCTGTTTTCTCATGCCTCTACCTATGTTCTTTGGGTTCATAATCTGAATACCAAAATATTTTGGGGTAAGCTGAACAATAGCAAATATGGGGCTATGGTTATAGTAATGTTAAAGTGGATTATGGATTGCATTCTTCAGGCTCTACATGTTGTGAGGCATGTGGAGAGCTCTCTTGTTGGATCAGCACATCTCTTTTTATTCTTTAGGTGTTCCATGACATCGCTTATAAAGCAAAAGATAGGCAGGACCTGATTGCTGGCATTGACGAGTTCCTAGATGAAGTCATTGTCCTTCCCCCCGGGGAATGGGATCCAGCGATCAGGATAGAGCCCCCTAAGAGTCTTCCGTCATCTGACAAAAGGTAAAATTTTCAGGCCATTGGGAGTTTTCATCCTTGAGAAGGAGGTTGTGTTTAGAAAAGAAAAGAGGTTCAGCCAACTGCCCTAAGATTTTCAGGTTTCCATTCAACTTGAGGTATTATCTCAAATGAATCACACATGTGCCTTGGTTTGACATTTCGTTGACACTGTAAAATGAATGTTATATGTTGTGATTAGTGATGACAAATTAGAGATCTCAGATTATGATATTGGAATACATTGTAGAGATTTTTTCGGATTGTTTCGGGGACTCCTTGTACATGTGGAAAGATTCGTTTACTCAAGATGACTCCCTGTAGGTTTAAGAGGTTAAGAAATTGGATGATATAATTGAGAAGCCATTTTCTAGAAATCTTTGTTTTTCCAGGTGAAACAATTTCCCTCTTATACAACATGCAAGTTATTCAACTTTCTGTTCATCCACTCATTTGTCTTGGCTCTCAACAGAACACTTCAAAAGTTGTTTGTTAGGATGGCAGCCGGAAATAATTATCTTTCTCCCAAAGGGTTTTGGGTCCATCTCTTTATCAGCTAGTGCAGGACCCGGCTAAGAGGCAGGTGAATGAAATAAACTAATCTTTTGGGGGGCTCTGTTGTCTTGCTTAGAAAGAATATGTACTCAGGTGGAGAAAATGTTCAGATGAACGGGGACACGCCCCATGATGGAGGCCATGGAGGAGGAGGACACGCGGATTGTGAGGAATTACAGCGCACTGGAAGGTAACTTATGGATTCGACTGTCATTCATGATGAGGTTCTCTTCTGATCTGAATTTACCTTCATCTTTCTGTCAGCATTTTATTCACCTGTTTGTACTTTTGTTTGGTCAGCCAGCACACATTTATGGTGTATCTGTTAGCCACAGGCACTTGGGATGCAGCAGTGAGTGAAAGAAAAACCCCTTTCCTTATGGGTCTTACCTTGTAGTGGTAGGAGACAAACAATGAACAAATAACGAAATGTGGATCTGGTTTTATGGGGCAAAATAAAGCAGAAGTAGGGAGTTTCTGTGATGGGAGAAAGGTATTAGGTATTACCATGAGTGAGGGGTGTTAGAGAGAAAGAGAGCTCGTGGGTGGGTGTTGCAGGAAGACTGAGTATTGTGCCAGTCTTCCCCACTTGGCTTTCATGATTCCCTCTCTCCCTGGTACATTTACTCAGAAGTGGGTAGCATGTTACAGAAATGAGTAACTCCCAGGCTACCATCTCCTGGGCCTGCAGTGGGGAATTCAGGTTTCCCAGATCGCTTTGGTTAAATCTCTCTACATTAGGATTTCCATCACGGTTAGGTTCTCCATTTCATTTTGGGTTAACTATAGTTTTAAGTAGGATACTCATTTATGAAGATACGGTTTTTTAAAAATACTGAAGATTTTTTGAAAACACAAAAGTCAGTCATTTTAATATGCAGTTGAATCTGGATGAAATTATGTTATTTTCTTCCCCTGATGACCCACTTGGGTTTCTCTCCCAAATTAAGAGGACATTATTTCTCTTCTCTTCCGTCTTAAAGAATAGAGAGTAGGGGCTTCCCTGGTGGCGCAGTGGTTGAGAGTCTGCCTGCCGATGCAGGGGACACGGGTTCGTGCCCCGGTCCGGGAAGATCCCACATGCCGCGGGGCGGCTGGGCCCGTGGGCCATGGCCGCTGAGCCTGCGCGTCCGGAACCTGTGCTCCGCAACGGGAGAGGCCACAACAGTGAGAGGCCCGCGTACCGCAAAAGAAAAAAAAATGAATAGAGAATAGAACCTTCTCTTTCCCCCATTTTTTTTTTCTGACTGGTTCTTTACAAACTATTTCCATTAGGAATATACTTTTCCTTTTATACAGATATAATTTTTGGGATTTAACTTTTTAATTTAATCAGACTGTTATTTCCTTCTTCCATATTTTACCTTCCCTAAATGTATTGCATGTCTGCAGCATGCCTGGTACCATGCACAGCCCTGTGCGTACCAAGAAAACTGAAGCAGGGCACTGAGTGCAGCTAGGATAGACAGACAGGCAATCCTGAGAAAATGTGATAGCCCCTAGTGAATGTCTGAACTATGAATGGAGGGTCCAGACCTCGGAGGGCTGTTGAGCTCTGAGGGAGGGCATCACAGGCAGAAGGCACAGCATGGGATAAGGCTGAGCGAGGTTTGGTTCGGGGTGGGTGGGGGAGTGAGTTGACAGATGCATGAGTCAGCTGACTTGCTGACGAATGTGATGGGTCTCAGCTTGGGATGCTCTTCCATGACACACCTGCATGGTTTCCTTCCTTAATTCCTTCCAATCCTCACCCCAGAGTCACTTGCTTGGGAGGCCTGATCTGGCCACTCTAAATTTCAGCCATAGCACTCTAGCACTTAATAACCTGCTTCCCCACTTAATTTTTTCTTTGATGTTTTAGCACCATGCATTTTACTTATTTTGTTTCCCCCACGCAGGAAGTAACTCCATGAGGGTGGGTATTTTTTTCCTGTGTTGTTCACTGCTGTTTTTCTAGCACCCAGAATAGTGCTGCGCATGTCACAGATGGCCAGTAAGCATCTGTGGAGTGAATGAATGAGTGAATGAATGAATGAGGCTGGAAGGGAAGCTATGACAAGATTATAAAGGGCCTTATATGATCTGCTCACATGTTTGGATGTTTTTCTTCAGACAGTGAGAAATTTAATTCATCTACATAGTTCATTCTCGTCTAAAGACCAACTGTCTAGTCTTTAGGGAACGTGATGCCTAATTTGGTGACCAAAAAAGAGACAGAAGATTTATTCTTCACAGTCTTCTGGTTTTATCTTAAGTAGTTGAAGAGTATCTTCTAATTCAAACATTTTAAATACAAATTCTTTGTGGTTAAATTATCTCTAAGTTATCTCTTGGTTAATTTGATGGTAATTTATTTCATGTTGTCACGTGTTTGCTTTCTCCCTATGCAGGTTCTGTGGTGGACTAATTAAGGACATAAAGAGGAAAGCACCATTTTTTGCCAGTGATTTTTATGATGCTTTAAATATTCAGGCTCTTTCAGCAATTCTCTTCATTTATCTGGCAACAGTAACTAATGCTATCACTTTTGGAGGACTGCTTGGGGATGCCACTGACAACATGCAGGTGGGTTTGGTTTGGGGAAAGACACAAACAGTACAGCCCAGATTGCCTGCCTCACCCCTACAGCTCAGCTAGAAGCAGATGGCCTTTCAGTTACTCAGCATGATTTTCTTTCTTTTGCTAGATGCTGCATTTTACTTTGCTTCTGGCCTGCTGCTGTATTTCCAGCATTTTAGTAATTACAAAAATAGCTTGATGAAATCTGGCTTGAGTCACAAGTAGGGAAAAGAAGGGAAGGAAATGAGGATACACAATTCTGTTTGGGCAAAAGCGTATCAGCTGCTTTAGTTTTGTGCTGGGTATAAGGTTAAGATCTTCTATTACCTTGAGTGTGTGGACCATACTATTAAACTTGATCAAGTTTTGGGGAATGCCTGGTTAGCTTCCTTTTTCATGTGAGCAAGCGATTGAGTGATTTGCTCAAGATTGGATTTACATCTCTATAGGTAGAGCTCAGCTTTAAGGAATAAAACTAGGTGTTGATTTTCCTGTTCCTGAATCTGCCTCTCATTAAGCTGTGTAGACTCTAGCTTAACTTATTTTGTATAAACCACAATTTGTTGGTTACTTTGCAGGTGGCATTCACCCTCCTTTTGTATCAATAATAGCTGAAGCTTTAGTTATAGAGAAGATATTTTAAATTCCCATAATCAGAAAAATATGTACAAAACTCCTCTTAGTTGATCCAGTCATTAGGGAAAAATAAGTATTGTGCTAGGTGCTGAGTGAGTAGTGAGTGAAGCTGAAAACAACCATATTCAAGCCCTTTTCAAACTCTGTCCTTCTGTGTTACTACTTATTACTGTTTAACCTATGTGACATTCATAAGTGCTGCCAACCAGCTTATTTTTTTAAAAAAAATATAGCTGATTCCAAAGGATTGCTTTCCTTCTACTCCTGTTTTCTCCCCTGGGCACATTCATGTTTTAGATTTCTGCTTAAACACAAAATTTAGATGGAGACTCTCTATGACATCTATGTTGACCTAAGCAAAAAGGGAGACATTACTTTAAACAACTGTAATTCATCTGTTAAGAGAGCTTTTATCTTTTAGCCTTTATCTATTGCTGTAAAGCATGTTACCCCTAAATCCAAGGCTTCAAACAACCATTTTACTATTCTCTCTCATGGTTTTGGTGGTTGGTGGACTCAGCTGGGTGGTTCTCTTGGGTCTTCATAGACTTGTGAGTGAGATGGCAGCTGAGATTGGAGTTGCCTGAGGGCTTCTTTAGTCATATGACTGGTGCCTAGGCTGGGATGTCTGGTAGTTGGGGACTGAGGGCTCCCCACATGACTTTTCCTAGTTCCCATGTGAATGTGCACTCAGGATTCCTTCATTTTCTGATTTTCAAAGAGGTTGAAAATTCAATTTCTTACATGAAATCTGGTGATTCTTAAATATTGGCAACTGATTAACATTTTTAAAGTTACATTGTTCTGGCCAGAAAGCACATTCCCCAGGCATGGGGAATCGAAACCAAGCATGGTAGGACACAGAGATGAAGTATATGAAGAGGGTGTTTCCCCCTTTTTTTCCTCATTCATAAGACAAGAAAGAATAAATTAAATTGTAACAGTGTTGTCAGTAATGGTATTTTTTATAAAATCTGATCTGTATTCAAATTGGGCAGCTATTTTCATCTAAATGAGAGCATAATGATAACTAAAGCACATCATTCAAGAGAACAAGTGGAAAAGAAAGCACAGGAGAAGCACCTTGAGGCCAGCATGGAGAAGATAATACAGGCAGCCTCACATAAAGAAAATCATACCTTCCTCCCCACAGATACATCAGAAATACATCTACACGTGGAACTGCTCCTATAGTACACCCACTGAATGCTGGCAGAAGACCTCAGACCTCCCAAAAGGCAAGAAACTCCCCATGTACCTGGCCGTGTGGATGAAAGGCTCTTGGTGCTCCAGCCAGGAGTCAGTGCTATGCCTCTGAGGTGGGAGAGCCAACTTCAGGACACTGGTCCACAAGAGACCTCCCAGCTCCATGTAATATCAAACAGCGAAAATCTCCCAGAGATCTCCATCTCAACACCAACACCCAGCTTCACTCAAAGACCAGCAAGCTACAGTGCTGGACACCCTATGCAAAACAACTAGCAAGACAGGAACACAGCCCCATCCATTAGTAAAGAGGCTACCTAAAATCATAATGAGGCCACAGACACCCCAAAACACACCACCAGACAGGAACCTGCCCACCAGAAAGACAAGATCCATCCTCATCCACCAGAACACAGGCACTAGTCCCCTCCACCAGGAAGCCTACACAACCCACTGAACCAACCTTACCCACTGGGGACAGACACAAAAAACAATGGGAACTATGAACCTGCAGCCAGCGAAAAGGGGACCCCAAACACAGTAAGATAAGCAAAATGAGAAGACAGAGAAACACACAGCAGATGAAGGAGCAAGGTAAAACCCCACCAGACCTAACAAATGAAGAGGAAATAGGCAGTCTACCTGAAGAAGAATTCAGGATAATTATAGTAAAGATGATCCAAAATCTTGGAAATAGAATAGAGAAAATGCAAGAAACACTTAAGAAGGACCTAGAAGAACTAAAGATGAAACAAACAACGATGAACAGCACAATAAATGAAATTAAAAATACTCTAGGAGGGATTAATAGCAGAATAACTGAGGCAGAAGAACGGATAAGTGACCTGGAAGATAAAATAGTGGAAATAACTACTGCAAAGCAGAATAAAGACGAAAGAATGAGGGCTTCCCTGGTGGCGCAGTGGTTGAGAGTCCGCCTGCCGATGCAGGGGATACGGGTTCGTGCCCCGGTCTGGGAGGATCCCACATGCCGTGGAGCGGCTGGGCCCGTGAGCCATGGCCGTTGAGCCTGCTCGTCCGGAGCCTGTGCTCCGCAATGGGAGAGGCCACAACAGTGAGATGAAATAACTACTGCAGAGCAGAATAAAGAAAAAAGAATGAAAAGAACTGAGGACAGTCTCAGAGACCTCTGGGACAACATTAAACGCACCAACATTCGAATTATAGGGGTTCCAGAAGAAGAAGAGAAAAAGAAAGGGACTGAGAAAATATTTGAAGAGATTATAGTTGAAAACTTCCCTAATATGGGAAAGGAAATCCTTAATCAAGTCCAGCAAGCACAGAGAGTCCCATACAGGAAAAATCCAAGGAGAAACACACCAAGACACCTATTAATCAAACTATCAAAAATTAAATACAAAGAAAACATATTAAAAGCAGCAAGGGAAAAACAACAAATAACACACAAGGGAATCCCCATAGGGTTAACAGCTGATCTTTCAGCAGAAACTCTGCAAGCCAGAAACTTCCCTAATATGGGAAAGGAAATCGTTAATCAAGTCCAGGAAGCACAGAGAGTCCCATACAGGATAAATTCAAGGAGAAATACGCCAAGACACATATTAATCAAACTGTCAAAAACTAAATACAAAGAAAGCATATTAAAAGCAGCAAGGGAAAAACAACAAATAACACACAAGGGAATCCCCATAAGGTTAACAGCTGATCTCTCAGCAGAAACTCTACAAGCCAGAAGGGAGTGGCAGGACATACTGAAAGTGATGAAGGAGAAAAACCTGCAACCAAGATTACTCTACCCAGCAAGGATCTCATTCAGATTTGATGGAGAAATTAAAACCTTTACAGACAAGCAAAAGCTGAGAGAGTTCAGCACCACCAAACCAGCTTTACAACAAATGCTAAGGAACTTCTCTAGGCAAGAAACACAAGAGAAGGAAAAGACCTACAATAACAAACCCAAAACAATTAAGAAAACAGGAATAGGAACATAGGTATTGGTAATTACCTTAAATGTAAATGGATTAAATGCTCCCACCAAAAGACACAGACTGGCTGAATGGGTACAGAAACAAGACCTGTATATATGCTGTCTACAAGAGACCCACTTCAGACCTAGGGACGCATACAGACAGAAAGGGGGTGGAAAAAGATATTCCATGCAAATGGAAATCAAAAGAAAGCTAGAGTAGCAATTCTCATATCAGACAAAATAGACTTTAAAATAAAGACCATTACAAGAGACAAGGAAGGACACTACATAATGATCAAGGGATCGATCCAAGAAGAAGATATAACAACTGTAAATATTTATGCACCCAGCATAGGAGCACCTCAATACATAAGGCAAATACTAACAGCCATAAAAGGGGAAATTGACAGTAACACAGTCATAGTAGGGGACTTCAACACCCCACTTTCACCAATGGACAGATCATCCAAAATGAAAATAAATAAGGAAACACAAGCTTTAAATGATATATTAAACAACATGGACTTAATTGATATTTATAGGACATTCCATCCAAAAACAACAGAATACACATTTTTCTCAAGTGCTCATGGAACACTCTCCAGGATAAATCATATCTTGGGTCACAAATCAAGCCTTGGTAAATTTAAGAAAATTGAAATTGTATCAAGTATCTTTCCTCACCACAATGCTATGAGACTAGTTATCAGTTACAGGAAAAGATCTGTAAAAAACACAAACACATGGAGGCTAAACAATACACTACTTAATAACGAAGTGATCACTGAAGAAATCAAAGAGGAAATAAAAAAATACCTAGAAAAAAATGACAATGGATACACGACGACACAAAACCTGTGGGATGCAGCAAAAGCAGTTCTAAGAGGGAAGTTTAAAACAATACAGTCCTACCTTAAGAAACAGGAATATCTCAAACAACCTAACCTTGCACCTAAAGCAATTAGAGAAAGAACAAACCCCAAAGTTAGCAGAAGGAAAGAAATCATAAAGATCAGATCAGAAATAAATGAAGGAAACGATGGCAAAGATCAATAAAACTACATGCTGACTCTTTGACAAAATAAACAAAATTGATAAACCATTAGCCAGACTCATGAGGAAAAAACGGGAGAAGACTCAAATCAATAGAATTAGAAATGAAAAAGGAGAAGTAACAGCTGACACTGCAGAAATACAAAGGATCATGAGAGAT